TCACCTCCTAGAATTTTGGGGCTTTTTTTGGTAGTAAAAAAAAAGTTAGGTTCCTTTTCAATCTTGATTCTTCCAACCAGTTTGTTTGTTTATCTATACATGAGATTATAAAAATTGCCCAAGTCCTCTGGATGGTTTATGAAAACCAGTGACAATTTGGAGTGGAATTATTTCAGCATATGAAGGATGTTGCCCTCTTCTCACATCACCAACCAGTCTTTAGACTAGTGGTTCCCAGCCTTGGGTCCCCAGATGTTCTTGGACTAAAACTCCCAGAAGTCTTCACCACCAGCTGTACTGGCCAGGACTCAAGTTTGGGAACCTCTGATCTAGACCCACAGTCTTCAGTTTTGCTCGGTGACTCTCAAATTTGGACACATCCAAAGACAACCAAGGCTGAGCTGGCTGTGAAGGTAATGGAACTGGTGCGACTATATGTGGAGAAACAGACATTTCTGCTCATAGGAGGGTCATCTCTCTCTCTCTCTCTCTCTCTCTCTCTCTCTCAGGTATCTCAACAACTGCCAACTTGCTAGGCCAGGTCAATCTGTGACTATCTGCACAAACTGAACTTCCTCCATGGATTTTTCCATAGTGTTTGAGTGCCTTGAAGTATTGTCTAGTTTCAGCAAACAGAACTTGTCTTCAATCTGATATCAGGATTGGTAGATGCTTCATATGGATATGGTCCCTCGGCTCTAGGTTTAGCTGGTAGAAGCAGTGGGTGCTTTGAGCCTCCATTTAAAAACCCTTGCCCACTCCCCACATTCTATGACATTGTGAGAAAGCTAAAATGGGGGCTTGCCAACCCAACCGCCTAGTTAAAGAGATCCAGGGCAAACATCTGCATCTGCCAAGACACTGGGGAACCCATCTCCAAGAACTTCCAGGGGCTAATGCCATGTCTGCCTGAAATAACTACTCTGTTTTCAGTGACAGCCTTATCCCTCTTTCAGCAGGAATAAAATATCAGATGTCTTGAACCTTCCCAGGTTCAGCATTTTAGTAACCTGGCACAGCAAGATCTGTAGAGATGACAGAGATAACTCCCACTGATCAAGGACACAAAGACACCGTTTCTGTTTGCATCAGGCAGAAGCATAGTTTTAATAAAGCCCCATTTTCATCCAAGACCAACCCCGTGATGCCAGGTAAGTAACACACAGCAAAATAAAATGTTAAGCACAGAGGCAGCTCAAGATGAACAGTTGTTATCAATATCAAGACTGCCCAGTAGTTAGCAGAAAGTTTCCTCTTACTTCTTCATATGAGCTCAGAAATTTTAGAGGAAAGGATTGCAAGGCTTTTATCTGTGGAAGATGCTACTTTCCTTCCAAATCTACCTGCTGTGCCCTGGAGGGAGAAATTAAAGAATAAAATGTCAGTTAATGAACAGGAGATCATATTTCAATTGATGGCTGGTAGCGCCTTTGGTTTTTCACTGGGGATTCTGAGAAAATAGCATAAAAATGTTCACACAAGAGAAACACCCAGCTAGGCACTCGGCACAGGGAACGGAAGGGACATTTTAGAGGGTTTTGTTTGCTTTTCATGATGAATTTTAATTATAGATTTATATTGTATTATAATGCCCAGGATCCTATTACTTGCACCCACAGGTGTAAATCCAGTGGCAGAAATCTAAGTAGCAAATTGCTTCCAGTCAGGAAATCAAAATTTCTTATTAGATACTGCAGAAATGGATAGCCTATTAGAGACACTATGTGAGACCCCGAGAATATACGTTAAGGAAAGTTGAAAGTGTTTTATAATTGAGCCCAAAAGCAGATATGAGTAGAGAATGTATTAGAGATTACCATGTCACAGTCATGAAGTCAAGTGCTTTTTAGATATTGTATGAAAGCAATATTCCCCTGTGTGTATGTTTTTGTTTTGTTTTGCTATTAAGCCCTTCCCCCCCCTTTTCCTGTTGTTGTATAGTTGTGACTTTTTAACTAGATGCATTTTGCCGAAGAGGTTTACATCACTGGCCTTAACTCCAGTGGATGTAAGTAACAGGATTCTAAGAAATGTTTGCCTCCTTTCCCCCTTTCCTGTTGTTGTTTAGTTGTTTGTGACTTTTAAACTAGATGCATTTTGCCAAAGAGATTTACATCACTGGACTTAACTCCAGTGGGTGTAAGTAACAGGATTCTAAGAAATGTTTGGAGTATTGCATGACTATCCCCTGAGGTGTAAAGATGATGGGAAGAAATCCCACCTCTGATGAAGTGGGCTGCCTTCCACAAAAGCCTTGGCCAAGTAACACTTGTTTTTGCTGCAACAGGACTAGTATAGCTAACTTCCAGGACAATACTAAGAACTTTAGTTGCTTAAAAACTAATAGAATTGGATTGGGCATCAAGTATAAAACATGAATGAATTGAGAACAGGGCGGGAGCTATAGTAATAAAGCTGGAATCACCCAGGACCAGGCAATTAGTTGATATCTCTTGGCCATTCAAGTGTTCTGCACCTTTTGCATCCAGGTCCTTTTTACAGTTGTCATTTACCTCTGGCTTGAGGGGCCACCCCCAAGAAAGACCCATTTTTTCTTTTCAACATAAGAAAAAGGAGGTTTGTATTTGGGGGTGATTTCTTTTTAAAAATGCTGTGCACTATTCCTCATTTAGTCCAGGTAACATCATAATTACCTCTTACATCAGAATGGCAAGAGTGGCTTTTGGAAGATGACATTGTACAACTATGAGAAGTTTTCACAACATTTCCTCCTGTACTGCCACAACTCTGGTGACTGTTGGGACAAAAAGGGAAACGGGTCACTGGATGTGACAGAAAAGAGACTGAAGAGAACAATATTTGGAGTATCAACTCACAGTTGCATTTTTTAAAAAATCAGTTTTTAACATTGTTTTCATTGACAACATTCCTGTTACTAAGTGTAGTAAATCACGCTAAGGTAGGGAGGGCCATTGAAACAATGCAAATTTGGTGAGTAAACTCCTCTGAATGTTCCATTGATTAAAATAGGCCAACTCTGTGACTTGCTATAGTAAAGTCACAACTAGTATATGGCAATCTGAATCAATTGAATGTTTGAGGGAGGTGACTCATCAAATCCCCTTTGGGTCTACTCTAGTGTGATTTACTATGCTAAGTAACAGGATTTTGATCGTTGTTTTAAAAACAATGTTGCTTATTCCTGCAAGTCGAGTAGACATAAAATCAATTGATAAATACTTTAAATCAATCAATCAATTCTGTTGTATTCATTAATTCAATCATTCATTCAACAGATGTATTTCTCAGTTTTTTCCAAGAGATACTTTTACAAAGCAGCTTAAAACAATGAAAAATCTAGGCACCATCAGATTTGACTTTTGTTTTTAAAAGTACTATTGAAAAAATATGAGTTTTTTTAAAGAAAAAAATCATTCAAACTACTCATCTACACAGGAAAAGCCACTTTGAAGAAATAGATTTTAAATGCTTTTTTAAATGATCACCTCGGGTGCTTTCCAAACTAAATTGGCCTCCAGGCTGATTTAAAAAAAAACAAAACACTTTTACAAAGTGAGACAAGTACCAGTACAAGAAAACAGCTTTTGATATCTGTGGTCTACTTACGCAATGTCATGCTGTACTCCCTCTAACAAGCAGCGGTACGTTTTGATCTCCTGTTCCAGGCGACATTTGACATCCAGGAGATCCTTGTATTCTTGGTTCTGACACTCCGTCTCCGCCCTCAGCTCTGTCAGTTGCTGCTCCACACAGGAAATATGGTTCTGTATTTCGGCCAAGTGGTTGTTATAGCGGCATTCCGTCTCTGCCAATGAGCCTTGAAGCGTGTCCCTCTAAAGAATCCCAAAGGGCGGTGATGAAATTTTGACAACAAAAAGAAGGGGAACAATCAAGAATGCAGTGTACAATTTCTTTAGATGTACTGTCTTGGAGGCCCGGATCTTACCAAGCAAACATTGAGTGCCGGTAGTTAAAACACCTCATAACTTATGTTCATTTTAGGGGAGTGGATGAAACACTAACATAGATCTTAGAGTTCTTATGGAAAAGTCCCCACAAGTAATTCCACAGAACTTCTTTTTCTTCCTACTCTCACCAAAGTTGTTGTCCATTGCCCCAGTCATCTTGCCATTTTCACAACCTTAGGTCTATTCCTTTTATCCCATTTTGCCCCTACTTTTCTCTCTATGCCATCAAAAGTCCCCTCTGGATTATATTGGCCAAGCAACAGGGACTGAAAAAATGAATGTATATGAAGTGCTGAGTGTGGACTGAAATCATGTAGAACTTCACGTCTATCTCAAGACCAGATAATCTTTTACAGTTCCATACGGAAGCTGTCATGAATAGTTAGTTCTTAGATATGAAGCTGGAACGTGGGTGGTGCTCCTCCTTGAGCTCTCTCACACAACCTTAAGAAGACATTACAGAGGCAAAATGTATTGTGCCCAAGTTGTATGGATGCAGAGATAGTGCTCACCAAACTGAGCTGAGCCTGTAGATCAATTTCCAAAGTCTGCAGCTGACGCTTCAAATCCACCACTTTGTTGTTGCATTCCTCAACCTCTCTGCTGCTGCTACAGACTTCCTTGTTGACTTCCTCCACCTGAAAAGCAAGCAAGCACGACACTAGGAGGGATTTCATGTTGTTTGGTTCTTCAGTCTCACTGGCAAAATGTTTGGGTGGAAATTAGGAGCTCGAGACTCTCAAGAGGTTATAATGGTGACAAGGGAATGGGTGCTTGAGAGACATTTTTCTACTTCATTATTTATTTATCCACTTCTTGTTAATGTTTCATTGTTGTGCTCTCATACATGATACCTTTCGTCATTAAATATAGAAGAATATGAAAATAGAAGGGGAACACTGAACTGAGGATTGAGGACAGGAGAAACTGAGGATGTTTATTCTGTTCAGGACACAATGAACAATTCAGGATAAGTTTCATGTCAAGACAAAGAAAAAATGGAATGTGTTGTGATTTTTTTTCCTGCTCTGATTATCAGCTCACTTCTTGACTTCCTTAAACAAACATTTGTGACCATTAATTTAGGGACCAATAATATTTGCTAACCCAAATCCTTTTGCTCCTTTTCTTTGTACCGTACAATAACACTTCCTTACTACCTTCATACTATCTTCAGCTGAAGTGTTTAACTTTTGATTACAATACAGCCTTTCCATTGCCACAGACTCTGTTCTTCTACCCAAAATACATAGTTTTCTAAGCACAGCATTTTGAACGAGTGCTATCATGCTAGGCCTCATACCACCAAACAGAAATTTATTTGTTTATTCTTTCCAGCTCATCTTTTAGTTTAAGAGTAATTTCAAAAATAACTGTGAGAACGCATCACATAATTCTGTTAAAAGCACCAGATCTGGTTCAAAACTGCAAGCTGCAGTTAGTTCAAGTTTGGTTGGGGGAAAATACATGATAAAACAGAGCAAGGATCTTCAAGTTGTCTTTCATTAGTTGCTACTTTTCAGCAGATATGTCACCCAATCACAGTCTTTTCACCACTATACAACAGATTGTAATTCAATTGAATTTAATTAAAATTACAGTAATTCCTTCAAAATGTTCACCCATACATCTGAAATATCATACTCAAATGTTATGAATTTCTGTATTGATATTTGTCCTCTCCCCACCCCAGTTTGAGTTGATAATGCATGATCATTCCAATACGGTCTCTCGTTTTGGGTAATACCTAATAAAAGACATTCCGATGATATGACTAGAATACATGTATGAGTGATTTAACTGCCGCCGCCCCCGCCCCCCGCAATATCAAGTTGGAAACAAAACGTAACCTACCTTACTTTCATACCACTGCTCAACTTCTTTGCGGTTGTCCTCTATCATAGCTTCATACTGAAACCTCATTTCTTCCAAGACCTTCTTCAGGTCTGGTCCTGGGCAAGAATTGACTTCCACACTAACATCTCCCGTTGTTTGGTTCTTCAGAGAATTCACTTCCTGGAAAGGAAGTTTTGGATAATTTGCATGAGTCAGTTGTAAACTCGTAAGGGAAGGGATTTTGTCAGTCCCATTCAATAAGACATTCAGAGGAAGTCCTTCCATGGGCCCTTTCCTTCATAATAGGCTTGTGGGAGGAACAGACTGAAGGCTCACCTCTTCATGGTTCTTCTTCAGGCAGCACAATTCTTCTTGGAGGGACTCAAGTTGAGTCTCCAGGTCAGACCTACAAAGGGTCAGTTGATCCAGGACTTGACGTAAACCATTGACATCAACTTCCACATTCTGGCAAAGGGACAGCTCAGTTTCATATCTGCGCCACAGGAAGGGGTAGAAAGAGTTTTGAAATGTATTTGCAGAACAGTACTCCATGTGGTATACTGGGTAGAGTAATGGATGGGGGCTTAGGAGGCATGGATTAAAATCTTCACTTGGCCATGGAAATGCACCAGAGGTGTGTGCACTTGTCCTTGAATGTCTCACTTACCTTGAAAACCCTATTTGGGTTACTGTAAGTTGGATGTGATGTGATGGCACATAATAACATAATGCCTACTGAGGCCATTAGAAATGTATATACAGTGGTGCCTCGCAAGACGAATGCCTCACGGGATGAAAAACTCACAAGACGAATGGTTTTGGCAATGGGGTTGATGACTCGCAAGATGAATGTTCCTATGGTCGTGCTTCACAAGACGAATGCTTTCCGTTTTTTGTTCCTGCCTCATGTTTGCTGATTTTTAAATGTTTTTCTATGATCTTTAAAAAGTTAAAGTTTTTTGATTGAAATTTTTGAAATCATCTGCACAATATATATGGCTTTAAAGAGCACTTAATTAACCCTTTGTAAACCAAATTGGACTTTGTTCTGACTTTTTTTGCCTGTAGGAATGCATTAATTAGATTTCAATGCATTCCTATGGATTCGCAAGATGAATTTTTCACAAGATGACATTAACCATGGAAGAATTAAATTCATCTTGTGAGGCACCACTGTATTCTTGTTGAGTTTCTTTTGGTATCAAAAGGCACCTTTCTCCCTGGGGTATTTACTTCCATTGTACTACCTTTAGGGGCTGTTTGTGTATGAGCTGAGGAGGCAGGAAAAATTCCACAATCACCATGACAGGTAACTGATGAAGGACTTACTTCATTCTGAAGTCATCTGCAGTCATCCGGTTGTTATCTATATCCAGGACAAGCTTGCTGTTATCCACAGTGGCACAAATAATCTACAGGTGGGAAATAATACAGTTTTGTTTTTGCCATCTGCTATGTTATCCTCCTCCTTTTTCCTCCTCATTATTAAAACTGGTTGGATGGCTCAGTGAGTTAGAGGTAGTGAATTCAATTCTCACCTCTTCATCCCAGGTGAGAAGCTAGCCTGTATGGCCTAAAGAGTCCCCAGAAGAAAGGAATGGTAAACCACTTCTGAGTAGTTCATACTTAGAAAACCCTGAGAACTGCGGCCATAAGTTAGAATCAACTTGACAGTACAGAATTATTTATTATTATTACACACCGTCACACAGCCAATTTTACCTCCAGGTAAGACAAAGGTGAATCAATTTTCTTTCTCGTCTCAGAGTGTGACAACATTTGATAATACTTTGCAGTTTGCTCCCAAACTGACGTGAATGAATTTGAGGTATTTTTCAATGATCACGTGATGTAAAGATCAATGCAAATCAGCAGGCATTTTTTTCTTTCCAAGCTCGATGTTTTTTACCCCCTGCTGCTGGGGGAGTCTACTTTTTTTCATTACAACAATGTGAATGGGTGTTTCGCCTATATGATCTCTATTTCATTCTACAAAATAACCTTGGTTTGTGACTTTGGATAGTTTTCTGGTGACTTGGGGTGTGATACCCAGCTATCTGCTCATCTGTTTCATTCTACAAAATAACCTTGGTGTGTGACTTTGGATAGTTTTCTGGTGACATAGTAACTTGGGGTGTGATACCCAGCTATCTGCTCTTTCTCCATAGTTGCCCCAAGGTACTTTTCTGTTTATATTTTTAACAAACTATCAGGTCTAGTGCTAGATCACTGTATCACTGCTTTGCTACCTTAGTTTATGACTAGATCACCTCCACACAAACAAAGCAGAAAATAGAAATTGGTAAAGAATCAAAACAACTTCAACAAACTCAAGCAGACTATAACATTTCCATGGTATGTGTGTTTGTACATGTACGTATGGGGAAGTTTGGAAAGTTGTCCCTTTTTTCCAATTGCTGTGCAGTCCTTTAAACAGCCCCAGTGGCTTGACAGCAAACCATAAAAGGAGAGCTAGGGAGTCGCATGAGAGTGGTATCAAAGGAAGGGGTTGTAGGCACAGATCTTTCCACATCAGACTGAGAAGCCGATGTGGACACTGGCTCCAAATCAGCCGTTTGGGTGGTCACCTAAACCCAATGCAGTCACCAGAGAGACTGAATCAAGTCAATGTAGTCAAATTCTTAGCTGATTTAATTTGTTGTCATGGTTAACCCCAAGCAACTGGATTGTACTAGATGTACCTATATTGGTGTTTCCTTGTATGTTCTCTGGTTCTGTGACTCTCTCGTGAGTCTCATAAGTCTACAGGGACTATTGCCCCCAGCTCTGTACCAAAACCTCTGTTTTCACCAAAGCTCATTCCATTATTATTACCTTGAAGCTTTCAGCACTGCAACAGCATAAAGCATCACCATTTTTTTTATCTTAATCAATTTCAAGGATAACTTTTTCCCTAATTATTCACCATGGAAATCAAATGCAAATAAAATTTTGTGTACATGTCAAACTCTCAAGCAAAGACAGGATTATCATTATCCAGTTCACTCTCCCCTTTCTTTTCAACTTTCTTCTGAGATAAGTCCATGAAATTTAGAGTATGACATGTAGACACCAGAAGAGACCAGCATCTTTAATTGCACATAACTGATCTTCAGACAGAACCCAAAAGTAGTGAACAAATGCAAAGACAACATATTTTCTGAATGAATTTCAAAGGATGGAGCTATCACCCCTGTAGTGTGATTGTTAATGTGGCTCTGGGTGGCTCTCAAGAATGTCATCCACAATATTAGGTGTCTATTTGCTTGTTCATCCTCTATCACAGTGGTTCCCAACCTTGAGTCCCCAAACGTTCTTGGACTACAGCTCCCAGAAATCCTGGCCAGCACATCTAGTGGTGAAGGCTTCTGGGAGTTGTAATGCAAGATCATCTGGGGACCCAAGATTGGGATTCACTGTTCTAAGTGACACACAGAAGTGCCCTTCTGCTTTATGCATAGGATAAATAGGATGATCTCTGAAAAACAGAATAAATGGACATAGATCTGACTGAAAGACAGCAGGTTCGGAATACTTCAGCCTCCCGGGAAACTCTGTTACAGAACAATTAACAGCTTGGTAGTCCCCTTCCTACGTATACGTGTCTGATCAAAGGAATATGTGTAAATACACATGACATATAATTGCACTTCTGTATCTAAGCAAGCAGATTTTGATCCATGAAAGCTCTCACTAAAATAAAATAGTTACTCTTCAAAGTGCTATGTTATTTTGCCCTTTTCCTCCCTTTCACAAATATGCAGAGACAGGCTAACATGGTTACTTCTTTGACAATGTTCCTACCTGGTGTTTAAGATCTTCAATCTGTTGGTAGTAAGAGCCATAATCCTTTGTGTCATAGAGTGGGGCTTGCTGATCGTACCAGTCCCTAATTTTGCACTCGAGTTCTGCATTTTCCTCTTCCAAGCATCGCACTTTGTCCAGGTAAGAGGCCAGTCGGTCATTGAGATTCTGCATGGTCAGCTTCTCATCACAGGACAGCAACGGCGCCTCATTGCAGATTCCATATCTACCACCAACAGGCCCAAAGCAGACACCACCACCACCAAACCCACCACCAGGTGCACATACGTAGCCACCACCTAACATACCTCCCCCAAAGCCAGTGGCAATGCAACTTCCTCCAGCCAGGCCTCCTCCATAACTCATTCCACCACAGTAACTCCTAGCAGACGTGCCATTGCCTATGGCAGAAACACATCTCCCAGAGCCTGCTGGCATAGCCCTTATTCCACAACTGCCAGTAACGCAGCTGCCACTGGTACTTCTCCCTTTGTGGTACACTGTTGTGATTGTCTGTTTGGAGCTGGAACTCATTGTGAAAGAACCCTAGAAGCAAACCCAAAGAGCAAGAAAAAGCGAAAGACACACTCACACAGCTTGTTACAAATAACAGACTTTAGATGTTGGCACCCACCCTAGTCTGTATTTATACCTTCTGCAGTGTGGGTGTTGTCATAAGTGTGTCGCTTTATTTTCCTCCTCTTCCATAGAGCTGGCTCATCTGGTTGGCTCAGCCGCGAGAAAATTGTCCTTCAGGCAAACCCATCTCTGGAAATCTCAGCTAGGCAAGGAAAGACGTTTCACACCGTCAGCACCTTCCTTCCAAAAATACCATCAGTGGGTATTGCACGTGAATCATCAGTTTTGTAGCATATTGCAAATTTACAAGCAAGCAAGAGAACACTGCCCTAAACTAGCAGCATGAAATAATTAATGACAGCTTATGGTAACAAGGGAGTCTTCTTCTGCGGTTAGAGATATTTTATGTTTATTTCCTTTTGATTTTCTGTTGACTTTAATGAGCATGTGATTATTTTCAATTATATTTGGTTTTCATAGCAGAAGTGGAAAGACATAGACTGTTCGGAAGAAAAAACCTGGGCAAGATATTGGGGTTAAATGTTGGTCTTCAATCACCCTGAAGTATGCCTGATACAATGAAGGCATCAACTGGAGTCTGATGGAACGTCCAAATTGTTTGGCTTCTCTTGAGATGGTTCATCCCCAAGAATCTCATGAAAAGTGAAAGAGTAAGGGTAAACCCTTTCTGAGTACTATATACCTAAAAGGGGAAAACCTTGGAAACCCTGAAAAGGGTCAACATAAGTCTGAAACAACTTGCCAGAAAGACTAACTGGGTCCTAGATCAAAACAAGCCTGAACTACGATATCTCTCGACGAGGCAAAAAAATGATGAAACTGAGTCTGTCCTATTGGTTGTTGTGGGTTTTTCGGGCTCTTTGGCCGTGTTCTGAAGGTTGTTCTTCCTGATGTTTTGCCAGTCTCTGTGGCCGGCATCTTCAGAGGACTGGAGTGGGAACTCTTTCCCTGCTCTGTTGCTGTTTGTTGGATAGTTGAGTATTTATAGCTGCTTTTGTCCTTTTCAGGAGATAGGGTGATCAGCGTGTTTTTGTTGTGGATGTATTGTTGTGATAAGGGAGAGAGATTATCTGTCACTGGGGTTGATGGATGTCTTTAGCTGGTCTTTTTTGTGCAATGATCCCCGGTCCTTGTGGCTGGGTAGAGTTTGTTGACCTTCTGCAGGCTCTACTTTCCAGTGCTGGGAGCCAGGTCTTGTTAAGGTTCAGACTTCTTTTTTGTTGACGCTCTGCTGATGTTTATGGATTTCAATGGCTTTCCTGTGCAATCTAGCATAATGATTGTTGGTGTTGTCCAGTACTTCAGTATTTTGAAACAGAATTTCCCAGCCACAAGGACCAGGGATCATTGCACTAAAAAGACCAGCTCAAGACACCCATCAACCACAGTGCCATGGGCTTGAGTTTGCAAGAACTGGTCAAGGCTATATATGTAAGAAACATGGAGAGAGAGAGAGAGAGAGAGAGAGAGAGATATTTATTGTTCTTGTTTCTTCTCTGCTAAAGGAATCTGCATGTTACACTGAACTGTGTATGTTACATTGAACAATCCATGCTATGAAAATACCTGGAATATCTTGAAGGAGATGTTAATGTTATGACATTAGATTCCCACTTATTTTTACAGTTCATATTTCATGTGGCATAGACTTCAGCATAAAAGTATGCCTTACAGCAGAGGAGATCTTTTCCTCCTCCCAAACCCATAAAAGGGCATGCTTTAGTTTGTGGCCAGGTAGTAACTATTAGAAGTAATTGGTTTTTAAGTTGGACTTAAGGCTCCCACAGAGACCTTTAGGGGATGCTTAAGCTGAACCTTCTTATTATATAGAGGCATTAAGGAAAGGCAAAAGGCCCATGACAAAGGAAAAGACCTTGTTGCAATATACAGTACTGTACTCGTTTCTCATCCTGGAGAGCAGATAATATTTCCAGCATGGACAATGCCAAATGAGAGAAAATAATTGTTGTGGTGGTATAGGCTGCTTTTCATTTAAAAGAAAAGCATTCCAACCACTAACAGAGAAAAACACTGCAAAATAAAAGGCGATAGCACAAGCATAGAGGTATTAAGGAAAGGCAAAAGGCCCATGGCAAAGGAAAAGACCTTGTTGCAATATACAGTACTCGTTTCTCATCCTGGGGAGCAGATAATATTTCCAGCATGGACAATGCCAAATGAGAGAAAATAATTGTTGTGGTGGTATAGGCTGCTTTTCATTTAAAAGAAAAGCATTCCAACCACTAACAGAGAAAAACACTGCAAAATAAAAGGCGATAGCACAAGCTGGTCTTCTTTCATGGCTTTGTTACAGAGAAACAGTCTTAGGACTGTTCCTTTCACATGTTCCTTGGATAAAGTTCCCATCTGGGGATTATTTGAATCCTGCCCTTCACCCCCTAGATGGCTACTCCCACTTAGAACTTTTTGGTTGTGCTCACCCACTGCTCCACTTAGGATCCAGTCTTTGACACAGAACTGTAAAGTAGCTTTCTGAGCATCAGTCTACCCTTATTAAAATTGATTCCTGCAAAATAAAAGGCGATAGCACAAGCTGGTCTTCTTTCATGGCTTTGTTACAGAGAAACAGTCTTAGGACTGTTCCTTTCACATGTTCCTTGGATAAAGTTCCCATCTGGGGATTATTTGAATCCTGCCCTTCACCCCCTAGATGGCTACTCCCACTTAGAACTTTTTGCTTGTGCTCACCCACTGCTCCACTTAGGATCCAGTCTTTGACACAGAACTGTAAAGTAGCTTTCTGAGCATCAGTCTACCCTTATTAAAATTGATTCCTAGACATCAGGGCTGGTTGACCCCCTTAACTGGTCACTGTCGTTGACATATGTGATGATCACAGTACAGACAGAGGTTGCTACTCACCGTAACTTGGAAAACAATTGAATCAAATACTATGTTGAACCATAAAATAAATGAGCCTTGGTTTTAGAGAAAAGATTGGGCTGGACAAAGGAGCCTCTCCATAAACTTTACACTAATTCTTATTCACATTGGAGCTGCTTCAAAGCAAGGGGAGGCAAAATCTATGATATAAATCTAAGGTCATGCCTAATAGGTCATCTAAGGTAGATAGCAGAACCTCAAAACTGGAAGCAGTGACAAGGTTTGGAAATCAGAACTGAGTGTACCATTGACTGCACACTGCTTGCCATAAACCGGCCTGCTACCTTCAGAAAGACACTACCACTAGGTTGAAGTAAGCTGCTCTTACCAGCCTGGTCACCTTCTGTAATGAGAAGGAGCCATCTTGTAACTTAACCTTAGGGAGCCATGTGGTCTTAGGCCTGCCCTGAGCTGGAAGGGATAAGTAGAAACTCTGAACAGAAAGCTCAAGTAGAAAAGAACAGGAAAGAAAAAGGAAATAGTGTTTCTCATTCTCTTAACCAGGCAGGGATATTGTAACCACCTTGAAGATATGAGGAGAGCCTGAAAGCTGGTGCCCATTTTGGATCCTCTTAGTAAAGGGAGCACCCATGGGAAACCTGATTTTCTGTATAATGTGAAGAATAATAATTTAGAATCTCCAATAGAAAGATTTTGATCTTAGACTATGGGCCTCAATACATACAGAGTAGAGATGGGGTATTTGTATATGAATACTATCCCCCATCAGGTGCAGATAACAAGGGTCCGGCCCCCTGGGGCCAGACCGATCACTCACCTGTCCGCTGCTGGTGTGGGCTCTGTGATTCCTTCCTATCACTCCAGAGCTTGCGATGGATTAGTCAGTCCTGTCAGAAGGCGGGATGATGAGCCTCCCTGCCGGGTCAAAGAGTGGCTAATCCATTGTGAGCAATGGAGCGATAGGAAAGGATCATGGAGCCCGCAGCAGCGGCAGACAGGTGAGTGGTCGGTATGGCCCCAGGTGGCCAGAACCTTGTGGTCTGCATCTGTGGGGGGATATTCGTATACGAATAACTCCATCTCTAATACAGTCAATAGTAGAATGTAAATGATTGTTTTGTGCCCTTGTAGGACAGGTGCCTTGGACTGCCATACTTAGTCCCTCTCTTAGACTCCCCTTTTCCTTGACCATTAACCTGTGAAAGCCATTTAAA